CCCCCCCCCCCCCCCGGTCCTGCGTTCACTTCCTCGTGGCCATTGCACATTATGTATATTGTAAGTAATTTATATGGGGTTTTTGTTTGTTGTTTTGGTTTTGTTGTGGGTTTTTTTTTGTTAAATGTATATATTTTTGTATGTTTGCTATATTTTCATAGCATCGGTACCGTGTTTGAAACATGTAGATAGGAGACAGAATACTATTGTCAGAGTTATTTAAAGGATGTATTAAGTGCTTCTTCCTGGGAATGTCCCGTGTATATAAGGATTGGGTGTCCGTGTGCGTGTGGTGCATGTGCTGTGGGGGGCCAGGCTGGTGCTGGGCCAGGGGCTGCAGGCTGAGCAGAGCAGGGCAGGGGGTGGGAAGCCCCCCAGAGCATGAGTTGGTGTGTTCCCAGAACCTGCTCCACACTTAGGAAATGCTAGAGGCTTGGAGGGAATCCTGAAGCAGCCAGACCAGGCAGGCAGTGCTGCAGGGGAGGGTGCCGTGCACTGGGCTGCGTCCTGCTGCTGGTGGCAGCTGGAAGCTTCTTTCCTGTGTCACTGGGAGGGGAGACCCTTCCAGGCAGAGAGGGATCTGCTCAGACACTTCCATTCCTAATCCCATCACCTCCTGCTCCCAGCACTCCTGCCATGCTGTGTTCTGCCCACGTGCTTCCTTGGCTCCAGGTGCCTGCCCATGTCCCTTATGGGATGGAAGGAGGATGCAGGGATGCTCTTGGGGATGGCTTGGGACTGGTGTAAGTTACCTGTGAAGACCCCAGTTGGTAGGAAAGAAAGGTTGCAGAAGGATGGGGCAGGAGAAAAGAAGTGCTGATGATCACTTACAGTGAGGAGGTGGTAGGTCACCAGAGGGTGTTGGAAGGGCAGGTTGCACAGAGGGAAGTTGTGTAGAGAGGGGAGAGAACTGCTGCTGATAACCAGAAAGCTTTTGTACTGGGAAGGAAGAGGCAGGTGGCAGTGAGGCCAGAGCAGTGCCTGTAGCTCAGCAGGGGTAGGTGGACATGGGGACTCCAGCTCGGTGGCAGCAGGTGCCTGGTGCAGGGAGAACCAGCAGCAAGGTGTGAGCCCAGGGCTGGGCACAGTGTGCTTTGTGCAGGGTGCAGAAGGGGTTGGTTACTCCTTTTACTAACAGCTCCATCATCCCCAGAACAATTCTGGTCTCTCAAACTGATTTTCAAGCCAAGTATTTTAAACTATGTGCCTGGTATTTTTTGGTTCCTTTTACTTACTCAAGCAGCACAGCCCCCAGGCTCAGCTCTGGTAAGTGCCTGTGACTTTCTTTTGGTGACAGGTAACAAAGTGCCTGCAAGCCCTGTCCCAGATACCCGAGGCAGTAAAACCAGGAGCCCTGGCTGTGGCACTGGGCTCACCCCTGCAGGCACATCCTGCTGCCCAGTGCTCTCTTGTGTGTCCTCCCGGGGCTGGGAAGGATGTGGTGCTAAAGCAAAATCCTGTTTGGTGAAACTTGGGACCTCTGTTCTGCTTCTGTCCTCAAAGGCAAAGTTCTGGCTCTGTGGCTCTGCCTCAAAGGGGAAGGGGCTGGAGAAGGATTCAGTTGCATGAACAGCAACTACTTGCAAAAAAAAACCACAAGGAAGCTGCTCAGCTTCCAACACTGCTGCCTCAGCGTGCAGGAATTCTTTTTCTGGCCAGCAGCAAGATGGAATAAGTCAGATTAGGGCAGGAAAGCTCTCGCTGGCAGGTGCTGCTGGGTGGACCACCAGCTCCTAGTGGCTTTTGGGGTCTGACAGGGGAGCTCTCCTAAGCACAACTGCCCTAACAGCTTCTTTGGCCCTCCAGCCCTGCCCTGGCTGCAGCCTGTTCCCCCTGGAGCACCGTGTGTAGATCCAGCCATCCCTGAGGGCCACGTCAGAACCTTCAGTGAGTGAAGTGACCCAAGCAGGTCTTGGAAATCTCTTGCATCTTCACAAGCCAAAAGTTTCAGTTCAGTTCCCAGCCCCTCCCCAGGACTCATTTAGAAGAGTTTGTTAATAGGAGTGAAGGGCAGGAAGGAGCCAGAGGAAAAGTGGGGGCCAAAGGGGCCCTGAGTGCTCAGCACAGCTTGTAATAAGCTAAGGGAGGAGAGAGGATGAACCCCAGGGAAGGGTCCCAAGTGCCTGTTCCTTGCCAAGCCTGCTCTGCATGTGTGAGTGTGACGATGCGTGTGACTACCCAAGTGCTTCTTCTAATCAAAGAGGAGCAGAACCAGGATCAGACAACTGCCCTACTTCTTTCCTTCACTTGAAGTATGGAGAGCAGCTCTGGAACTCCCCAGTTGTATTTTGAAAAGCCAAACACCTCCACCAGGGCCCAGGTGATTGGTGGTGGGCACCACCCACAGCTTTCAAGCAACCTTAGTTCTCAGCACAGCATTGATTTGTACCAAGTACAGCAGCACTCACATGGTTCCTGCACTGTCCCAGCTGAGGTACCATGCAGACATGCCCTCAGCTGCAGGCACCAGGCAAGGACTTACACCCTCTGCAGCAAGAAACTTGCCTTGCAGCCTTTGCCAATAGCTACTCCTGAATGTATGTTTCTGTGTTTGTAGTCACCAAGAGATGGTTTCTTATTTATTGTCTTAAGCGTCACAAAGATGCAACTCTATCAAGCTGCTTAAATAAAAACTCTACCCATTAGTTTAACAAGGGAGGGACTTACCTAAGTGCTTTTTTTTTTTTTTTTTAATAGCAAAAGATCAGATGATTGTGACCAATATGCCAACTGTTACTGTCTGGTCAGCATTTCATGGCAAACAAAAATACCGGATTTTGTAACTGTGGGGATGTTTCTTTAAAAAAAGTGACAAGGTCAAAATAAAAGCTGACTGCTACCCCCTGGCTCCTGAGCTTCTGTTCTGCTCCCTCCAGCACCACCAGCACCAGCTCAGCCAAGGCAGGGGTAGCCCAGAGCCATTCCTGCCTACACTGTCATTCTGTGCCTGGGATGCTAATCGAGGTTACCTGTGCAATGAAAGACACTCTGCAATCAGCCAGCCTGGCAGGGCTGCAATGAGCACCCTCAGCTTCTCTCTGAAGGCTCTGGGCAAGGTAAGGGAGTGTGGCACAGGGGCTGCCCTGGCTCACCTGTTGGGAATTGCTGGCAGAAAAGCCCAGGCTGCTGCTGTGACCTGCTGCTGACCCCGAGGGAAAAGCCCCCACGGAGGGCTGGGGGCACAGCCCAGGACTGCTCTGTGTCCAGTGCCTGGTGGTGGGGCTGGTGGCCACCAAAATACAAGTGATCCGGGTTGGAAAGCTGGCAGGGGACAGAAGGAAGGAATTTACATCCTTATGACACACAGTCTTGAGTCTTCCCAGGCCAGCAAGAACCCACTGACCATACGAGTATTTTTTTTTATTTCCTTTACAACTTATAAACACTCAAAACACAACGTACACTTAGAGTTCCCACACAGCCCTGCATGAGTTAGTAGCGTTTGTCCCCTGGCCTGTCACTTCACAGTTGGTGCACAGATGGCACTTGTCTTCATCTCCACAGCAGGGGCACTGCTGGTACCCACCGCCACACGTGACACGTGTCACCCCAAAGCCACGTGTCCCACTGACTGACAAGGCAGGAGATCAAGTACTCACAGTATAGTTCAGCTTACATGGTTTCTCCCAGTTGGGTAGTGTAGTGTCTGATCCCACCTTCCCACAAGATGGGCTACAGCCCAGGAGGAGACTCACCAGGCATTAGTGCAACAGGCAACACACAGTCAGAGATGATGCCCCCAAAAAGGTCAACAGTTTCAAAAAGGGATTCATCTGGGTGCACAGAGGACAGGAGTTACCTCAGCATCACTGCAACTAGTGGAAATCCTGCAGCTGACCCCAGAAGCCAGCTCTGGCCTCAGGGGTAAATCCTTCCCTCAGCTGGGTGGGTCAAACTGATTCATGGCCCAGCGCTCCTGCCCCACTGCTCTGGTGAGTGGCACCCACCTCCCTGCTCCAGGTCACCTCTGGTGGCAAAATCCTTCTTGCTGAACGAGGATCTCGGAAGGGAGACAAGTCCTTGGGAACAGAAGCAGCATGTTTGGCAGGTCACTTCAAAACCCAGTTTAACTCCTACCAGAGCTGGCAGCAGACCAATAGTCCAAGTGCCAAGAGGCACCAAGGCCTGGAGAGAAGCTGGGATTCCAGAGTGCTTGGAAATTGTGGCTGGATCTTCCATACTTCACATTCCATTCTCAATGAAGTCCTCACAACTCCCACAATTCCTGCACTTTCTATCTAGATGATGAAGTATCATCATACCTTGTCTGCTCTCACCAGATGCTTGTTGGGAGGGAGTCTCTAGAGAGAGGTCCTGAAAGAATGTTCCCATCAGAGATAGAGGCCTTGAAATAGCTCAAACCAAAGGAAAACAAAACACAGAGTTGGTCCTTTCTTGGAGCATCTGCTGGGGATACAAACAGTGTCCTCCTCATCAGGCAGAGGTGGCAGGCTCAGAAGGGAAATTCAGCCTCCTGGAAGGGTTAAATGCCAAGTCCACATGGAAGCAGCACAGCCACACTGTGCCTGCCAAGCCCTGCTCCTGTATCCATGGTCTGCACAGAGTCAGCACAGAAGAAAAATGCTCCTGCTGCCTCCTCCATCCCAGGCTGGGCAGAGCCAGGGACACAGCCCCCGGCTCTACACGAACTCGGTGAAATCATCCACCGAGGAGATGAGCCGCTTCCTCTGCCCCGTCTCATAGGTGGGTGGAGGATCCTGAGGGATCTGGGGAGGGGGCTTTGTGGGAGCAGATGAGTGCATCTGCAGGGGAAGGCCAGGAGTCTGGTACTGGGTTTCCTCACGTAGCTGAAAGTCAAACGAGAACAAATGAGCTCCATTCTCACTCTCCCACCTGGGCAGGGCAGGACAGGTTACTCAGGATGGCCAGTGCCAAGTGGGTGCAGCTGTGACCAGCCAGGAGGGTTCCCAAATCCCCTACTGCCAGGAAAGCTGTTTGGAAGCTCACAAGTCCAGATCTGCATGACTACACTTGTCATTCCCACAACAGCTGGCTTCTAACCTTCAGAGATATTCCTCCTCCCCTTACTCACCAAGCTTTGGTGGCTGATGTTATATGCCTTATTTGTAACTAGATTCTGCTCCCCTTTGCAGTGAGAGCCCAGCTGTGACACCCAGCCCAGCTGTGACACCCAACCCCGGTGTGACACCCAGCCCAGCTGTGACACCCAGCTCCCCTGTGACACCCAGTCCAGCTATGACACCCAGCCCCTCTGTGACACCCAGTCCAGCTGTGACACCCAGCCCAGCTGTGACACCCAACCCCGGTGTGACACCCAGCCCAGCTGTGACACCCAGCTCCCCTGTGACACCCAGTCCAGCTATGACACCCAGCCCCTCTGTGACACCCAGTCCAGCTGTGACACCCAGCCCAGCTGTGACACCCAACCCCGGTGTGACACCCAGCCCAGCTGTGACACCCAGCTCCCCTGTGACACCCAGTCCAGCTATGACACCCAGCCCCTCTGTGACACCCAGTCCAGCTGTGACACCCAGCCCAGCTGTGACACCCAACCCCGGTGTGACACCCAGCCCAGCTGTGACACCCAGCTCCCCTGTGACACCCAGTCCAGCTATGACACCCAGCCCCTCTGTGACACCCAGTCCAGCTGTGACACCCAGCCCAGCTGTGACACCCAACCCCGGTGTGACACCCAGCCCAGCTGTGACACCCAGCTCCCCTGTGACACCCAGTCCAGCTATGACACCCAGCCCCTCTGTGACACCCAGTCCAGCTGTGACACCCAGCCCAGCTGTGACACCCAACCCCGGTGTGACACCCAGCCCAGCTGTGACACCCAGCTCCCCTGTGACACCCAGTCCAGCTATGACACCCAGCCCCTCTGTGACACCCAGTCCAGCTGTGACACCCAGCCCAGCTGTGACACCCAACCCCGGTGTGACACCCAGCCCAGCTGTGACACCCAGCTCCCCTGTGACACCCAGTCCAGCTATGACACCCAGCCCCTCTGTGACACCCAGTCCAGCTGTGACACCCAGCCCAGCTGTGACACCCAACCCCGGTGTGACACCCAGCCCAGCTGTGACACCCAGCTCCCCTGTGACACCCAGTCCAGCTATGACACCCAGCCCCTCTGTGACACCCAGTCCAGCTGTGACACCCAGCCCAGCTGTGACACCCAACCCCGGTGTGACACCCAGCCCAGCTGTGACACCCAGCTCCCCTGTGACACCCAGTCCAGCTATGACACCCAGCCCCTCTGTGACACCCAGTCCAGCTGTGACACCCAGCCCAGCTGTGACACCCAACCCCGGTGTGACACCCAGCCCAGCTGTGACACCCAGCTCCCCTGTGACACCCAGTCCAGCTATGACACCCAGCCCCTCTGTGACACCCAGTCCAGCTGTGACACCCAGCCCAGCTGTGACACCCAACCCCGGTGTGACACCCAGCCCAGCTGTGACACCCAGCTCCCCTGTGACACCCAGTCCAGCTATGACACCCAGCCCCTCTGTGACACCCAGTCCAGCTGTGACACCCAGCCCAGCTGTGACACCCAACCCCGGTGTGACACCCAGCCCAGCTGTGACACCCAGCTCCCCTGTGACACCCAGTCCAGCTATGACACCCAGCCCCTCTGTGACACCCAGTCCAGCTGTGACACCCAGCCCAGCTGTGACACCCAACCCCGGTGTGACACCCAGCCCAGCTGTGACACCCAGCTCCCCTGTGACACCCAGTCCAGCTATGACACCCAGCCCCTCTGTGACACCCAGTCCAGCTGTGACACCCAGCCCAGCTGTGACACCCAACCCCGGTGTGACACCCAGCCCAGCTGTGACACCCAGCTCCCCTGTGACACCCAGTCCAGCTATGACACCCAGCCCCTCTGTGACACCCAGTCCAGCTGTGACACCCAGCCCAGCTGTGACACCCAACCCCGGTGTGACACCCAGCCCAGCTGTGACACCCAGCTCCCCTGTGACACCCAGTCCAGCTATGACACCCAGCCCCTCTGTGACACCCAGTCCAGCTGTGACACCCAGCCCAGCTGTGACACCCAACCCCGGTGTGACACCCAGCCCAGCTGTGACACCCAGCTCCCCTGTGACACCCAGTCCAGCTATGACACCCAGCCCCTCTGTGACACCCAGTCCAGCTGTGACACCCAGCCCAGCTGTGACACCCAACCCCGGTGTGACACCCAGCCCAGCTGTGACACCCAGCTCCCCTGTGACACCCAGTCCAGCTATGACACCCAGCCCCTCTGTGACACCCAGTCCAGCTGTGACACCCAGCCCAGCTGTGACACCCAACCCCGGTGTGACACCCAGCCCAGCTGTGACACCCAGCTCCCCTGTGACACCCAGTCCAGCTATGACACCCAGCCCCTCTGTGACACCCAGTCCAGCTGTGACACCCAGCCCAGCTGTGACACCCAACCCCGGTGTGACACCCAGCCCAGCTGTGACACCCAGCTCCCCTGTGACACCCAGTCCAGCTATGACACCCAGCCCCTCTGTGACACCCAGTCCAGCTGTGACACCCAGCCCAGCTGTGACACCCAACCCCGGTGTGACACCCAGCCCAGCTGTGACACCCAGCTCCCCTGTGACACCCAGTCCAGCTATGACACCCAGCCCCCCTGTGACACCCAGCCCAGTCAGCCCCACCTACCCGGTGCCGCAGCCTCTTGATGTGCCGGAGCCTGGCAATCCATTTGGATGGGTAGGTGTCAGTCGGGTTTGATCGGCTGTGATGAACCTGGGAAGCCATCTGGGAAGGGCAGGGAGAAGCAGGGTAAGCGCAGAGGCAATGAACATCACCACCACCATTAAGGTAACAAAATGTTTCAGTGACTGAAATTCAGCTCTAAGTTGTAACTGTTCTCGTGCTCTGACTTAAGGGTTGGCAGCAACAACTGAAGCAGAACAGCTTATTTGCTTAACCCAACCCTACTCATTTCCCTGGAAGCTGGTGGTGGACCAAGACCCCAGCTGGAAGCCAGCAGGTCTGAGTTGGCCCAGGGGCACTCACATTGGCATGCAGAGCCATCTGACGGGCTACGAACGGCAGGTTCTTGTCAGAGATGATCTTAGCAACACTTGTGTCCACAAGACCCTCCATGTCTTCGTTTTAAAGGAAGAAGAAAGAAATTATTGTAAGAACAAGCCAGAAGCTGTCAGTAACTAAATGGACAAGTCATATAAACCTGAGGAATTGCACCACAGAAACTCAGAAGTTCCCACCCAGCTCTACAGCTCCAGCTGTAACAGAACTTGCACTGCAGCTTCACACAACTGGCTCTTCCATTCTGGCTGTTCCAGAAAGGCTTTGGGAGAACCTGGGGGGCTCCTAAGCACACGAACCAAAGTGGGATGGAAACCATCCCAGAAGTGCCCCTTTGGTCACAGGACAGCAAATGCCCCAGCAGATCACAGCATCTGCACTGCTGCCCTGGCATGGAGCTGTGACCAGTTCCCAGGGTCCTGCAGTGCTGGGAAGGACAGCAGAGGCCAAGCCACAGGGACTTCCACCACTTCCTCCTGGAAGTTTTAATTTTGAAAAACCAAAACACTGTGAAGTGAAGGCAGTTACTGCAGCACCAATACAGGGAAGACTGAGACCAAAGGCAGGAGGGGTCCTCACCTTTCCTGCACTGCAGGGTCACCAGGTTACAGTCGTAGTCCAGAGGTGTAATGATAACGTGCACAAAGTTGAACTGCCCCTGATGAGGAAACAACCCAACAGGCAGACACATGTCACAGCATCCTTAATGCTGAAAACTAACACACCTGAACCCAAGGCTAATAACTTCCCACCATTACATCAACACTGTTTGCTGAGATAATACACATCAGAGGATGCTTTAACAGCCACGTGCCTGCTGTGTAACACAGCCCCACGTAAAACCTTGTACCTTTATTGTTCCCAGCTTAAAGTCTTCTCCAGAATCATTGTAGATGATGGAAACAAAATCATTCCCAAGGTGCCTTTTCTTGTCACAGCGGTATTTATCCAAATCCTTTGTGGGCATCAGAGTAGCAATGTGGAAAATGGCTGAGGAGGAAAGAGAAAGGCCCTTAGGCTGGCCGGGGAAAGCAGGGCTGCGAGCAGTGGTCACCATGCAGGACTGGTCTGGAAGACTAAGTAGCACCAGCACCACAAGAATTAAAAATATTAAGTTGTGCTCCCCCCAAAGGCTTGCCCCCATTTGTGGCAGCTGAATCCAGTCCCTCTGGACTGCTGCAGTGGTGCCTGGAGCAGTGGCCAGCAAAAGGGCAGCCTCTGAATGCTGCTCTGGCCAGTTTCTAGGTACTGCCTTGCACAGTCTGCACCAGCAGCAGGCTCAGCACCAGGGACTGAGGGCCTGGCTCTCGGCACGTGCCCAAGGTGCCCTGGAAGGAGGGCTCTGCTCAGGCTGGGGTGGCTGGCTGGCTGGTCATAGGAAATGAGGAGGGGGCTGCACAAGTGCCTCTGGGTGTTTTTTCCATGACCACAGTAGCCCGCCCGATGAGTAGAAGCAGAGTCTTGAGACAAGACCATCCTTCCCCTTCCAACTTCTGGAACCACCTTACCTTGCATAATGTCATCGTGCCAACAGTAGGTGAACTGTCCATCCTCCCCACACACGTCCAGGCCCCCCAGGTAGATTTTATCTGGCTGACAGTCTTTGAGCTCAATGAGCTTCCCCAGGCCAGTCAGGAACTCGGTGTAGCGATAGGACCCGTGCTCATTTGACAGAATTGCAATTTCATTGTCACTCTGGGAACACAGAACATGGGAGTCCCACACTGAGGGCTGAGAGCCCCCCATCAGCAGGAGGGATCAGGTTATTACATTCCTAGCAGGGCTTCATGCAGGCACTGGTTTTTAGTGCAAGACACTGTGAAAAAGCAAGGCTGCTGCAGGAGCAAGCCCAGCCTCCCAGCTGGAGATGGCATCCATGGAGATGGAACCACTGAAGGATGAACACACCTGCACCCAACTCACCTGGCCTTCTCCAACGTAGAGCACTGCAATTTTGTGTGTGTCATAGGAGGGAATTTGATCCAGGAGCTGCACCGACCTCTCGAATGTCTGCAAGCAAAACATTGGCCACATCCTTAAAACCTTATCCCCACCTGCCCACTGCCCCCCTAAACCCCTCAGGACAGGGACAGCACAATGTCAGCACAGGTTCCTGACCTTCCCCTCCCTCCTGAATGCTGCCCTGCCCTGGCACAGTGCAGCCCCAGGGAGTGGTGCTACCTGCCCTCTGTCACTGCACCTCCCTGGGTTTACACTTCAGAGGAGACTGAGCTGGCAAACTGCACATGTCAGAAGCACTTGCCATGACAAATTGCATTTCAGCTCCAGGCATGAAAAACCACCACGTCTCTTGCTCTGAAGAACATTTTTAGCATGAGGCATCATCTCATCTCACCTCTGCTCCCTCCTGCCTGACCACCCAAACATAAAGCAAGAGGCAACTATCAGCAGGAGGTCTGTGCTGCCCCATTCCAGCACTGCTGCAGGAAGTTTATGACTGTTTTCTTACATGACCACATAAAGCTTTCTGGTTGCTCCCAGTTACATGGAAGGCTGACAGGTTCATCTAGAGATGTTCTGCCAATATCACCTAATGCTCAGTTTCCATCCTGCCCTCCTCTTCCCAGCAAAAACCCAAAATCATCCTGCCTTCTGGCTGGGATTCTGAAACAGCACCAGCAAAATCTCCTAATATCTCAAAATCAATCCAGAGCCACAAAATCCTGGGAGCCACCAGGACTGGAGTACAGGAAATCTGTCACCTGTACCACTGTTAGTAGGAAACACCTTTGAATTGCACCATCTGAGCTGGACATTCACTGCTATCATTTATGTTCAGCAAAAGTAACAAGGTTAGAAAAATGAACTACAAGAATTTTTAAAAACAATAAATCTTTGCCTACCTCATTTGGCAAGAGCAGGGGCTTGTTGTTTTCATCACCAAAGAATGGGGAGTGGTACAACTGTAAAAACACAAAGCTAAGGGAGAGGGGGGTGGGAAAAAGTCCTGTTACCATAAAAATTAAGTCAATTTTGATCTGTTGTATGCAAGAACGTTATGTACAGAAGAAAAAAGCAGCAATTAAATGCTATCAGAGTATTACTCAGCTTCTAGAGACACTTCAGGGGCCTGGGCTACCTGCAGTCTGTAATAGAGACCCTGTCACCAAAAACAATGGGTCTGTCAAACAGCAGCAGCTGCATAAATTCCCTGTTCCAAAGGCAAGTCACCAGAGCAGAGGAGGAACAACACCACCACACTCCTGCCTTGCAGCTATGGAGGGTATTTCCAGGATAGCAGGGAAATTATTTTACAGCCATTTGCTTTTTCCCTGCCCTTAGTAAAATGAATATTGTCTCATAAAGCAATTTTTGGCAACTACCAATATCTGAAGTTCAAAAAGCAACTCTTGTAACCCCTTTTTCTCCCTAGTATTCTGCACATTATATTCCTTCAACTGCAAGACTAGCAATTCCTCCTGTTCACAGCAGAATTAACTCTAGGTGACCTGCATTCAAGCCACCTGTGCGTGTGGACCATAAACTGGGCCAGACTGGGAACACAAGGAAACTATCTATTTCTTTCACCATATTAAGGGACCTGTTTCCTAAATCACCAAGTTAATCTGGTGGTAGCAGGTTCAACACCTCTGCATTAGCTCCTGAAAAACAACCAGGTTATTAATCTTTCTTTTTAATCAGAGAGTGTTTTGTAGATCCCACAAAACCAGCAGAGCCCTTGGAGGGAATCCCAGTTGTGGCTGCAGCAGTTCTGAGCTCACCATTTCTAGCTTCACAGAAGCCACTCCACCCACCTTGGGTTTATTCCGGGAACTTTCTCAGCATTGGAGGCTGCTGTTCTGCTCTTGAAGGCATCTCTCTCGATCCTTTTTCCCCTCCTGGATGGGGCTGAGTCAGAGATGGTGTAACCCCGGGGCCGGTGCCCGGAGGGGGAGCGGGGGGAGGTGGCAGGGCTGGTGCCATCCAGCCCCCCCGAGCCACCCCCCTTGCCCTCCTCCCCCTTGCCCAGCCAACCACCCAGCCCTTCCCCTTCCAGGTTCCCAGACTGGGATTTGGATTTCACTTCCGTGCTCAGCCTCCTTGTTACTTCTCTGCCATTGGCATCTTTGAGGACCTCCTGCAGTGTCTGTAGCTCAGGGGAGGAACTGGACTTGCTGAGCTGCTGGGCTGGCTGGAAGGAAAGCTCCTCCAGTGTCTGGCCATCCTCCGAGGGCAGGACTCTCCCGATAGGAATTCCACCCTCCACCAGGTCTTCTGACTTCAGAGACTTTTCTTCTTGGCTGGAGGTTGAGGAGGACTTAAAAAGGGAGAGACAGGGATGAACAGCTTTCCTGACACACCAAAGCAAAGATGACAAGAGGAAGGCTGGAAGCAGCTCTGACACTTCCAGGGAAAGATGAGCAGAAAGGTGCCAAGTGCCAAGCCATGTGGTGCAAGGACCCTGCATGAAAGGGGCTTTTGCTGCCCCTGCTCTGCATGCAGCCCCCCCCCCAGCCTCCCACAGTCTCAGCCACGACTGCATGTGCATTTTGGTATCACTGATGAGTTCTTTCAGAAGGTGCCAAGAGGGA